GGGAGAGAAGGTGGGGAGAAGACAAGAAGGGGATGTGATGAGGGGAGGGAGACAGGAGAGAAGGGGCAGAAGGGGAGGGAGGAAAACATAAGCAAGGAAATACCTCTCTCTCTCTCTCTGTCCGTCTGTCTGTCTGTCTGTCTGTCTGTCTGTCTGTCTGTCTGTCTGTCTGTCTGTCTGTCTGTCTGTCCGTCCGTCCGTCTGTCTGTCTCACTCACTCTCTCCCACACATGAACACATATATAATACACACACATAAACCATTTGTTTTCAAAGTTGATTCTCTTATGTAATGTAAATAGTTTCAGTTTGCGTGTTCAGGTGGCGTAAAATTTTGTTGAAAAATTTATTAAATAATAGGCCCCCTACCTTCTGCAACTGGCCTAACCGCTATACCACAGATGCTGGTATTCCCAAAACTCTCAGTTTTAAATTACAGGGAAGTTATATGTAAGGGTTGTCAAATGGTCGAAATTAAAAAGCAATAGCTCTCTTCACCATGCACACGACTCTTTTTGTAAAAAGTTGTTAGGCACGCTTAAGCCTGCCTAACACTGAATTGTTCGAGGCACGTATTTTCAAAGTCAAGGTTGCTCCCCGATTAATTTCATCAGCGAGTTTGGGAAAGTTGTACAAAGAGATTGAGACTCGTGAAAATATGGATGATATGTTGAGATCCAGACCGCCTCTAGATTTTGGAAATGTTTTCACTTCTCTAATTGAGTTACGTAAGAGAAGCTATTGAAGATTATGGTAAACAGAATTTCTGAAGTTTCATCAAAGGAGACCCCCGAAAGGTAGGTTTAGATTTTTTCTTACTCTTAGTTAGTCTTGTGACTTTAAAATTATGAAGTGCCCCGAACAATTCAGTGTCAGGCGGGCGTACGCGTGCCTAACTACGGCCTTTTTTTAAAAAACCTACTTGCCAAAGTTCTCTCGAAACAGCGCCGATGCCGCAGACAGCGACATTGTGTCAGCCGGCTCTTGGGGCTTGGCTTCTGGGGAGAGGAAATATGCAGGGTGAGCACGACATGAATAATTTATGCCCCGAGAAACATTGTTTCAGTTTAAGTAAGAGTTTTTTAGCTTTCGTCAGAGTTTTACGGCACTTGGAACACAATAAGGTCATATACGTTTTGAAGATTAGAGGGGTTACAAGAGAGTAACAAACACAAAAAAAGAAGGAGGGGAGATAGAGATGATAGATATTTTTATAGGAAAGGAGCAAACCACACTAGAGCACCCGCCAACCACCCACAGAAACATTGTGTAAGCTCATTTCTGTGATGAATGATGAAAAAAAATAAGGGTATTGACAGAGTATGCGTAATGTGTCGTGCGTCGTCAACCAAAGCAATGCAGAAGAACAAGAGCAGACACACTTGCCAAACGGGGATCTAGACAGGGACAGCCCAGCGCTCCAACCTCATACAACACTGCAAAACAAATCATTTAAAGCAACAGCAAACAAGACTGGATGAACAGATGCGCCTTGGGAAAGACGAGCAGAGCAGTTTTTTTAAAATATGATCCCAACAAAACAAAATGACAATATCAGCGACCTACAGAGAAAAAAACAGACCACGATCTTCCGCCTACAAACAGAACACATACAGCTCAACTTTCACTTGAACAGAATAAAACCAGAACTTCCCCAAGTGTTTCCTTTGTGTGACTATGCATATGAGACTGTGGAGCATCACCTGTTCCACTGCACAGCCCTAAATGACATCAGAGCTACCCTTCTCCCTCCGAGACCTAGCATTGACAACACACTCTACGGAACATTACAGCAACTGCAGCAAACCTGCACTTATCACTACATGGCATTGGACAGAAGGACGAGAGCCCAGCTGTTGCTGGATCAATAACAAAGACAACAAAAGAAGAACATTGTGTTCAGGGAAGCAATTACAAATGAGAATGCTGGACAGTTTCTGAAGATTATGCAAATAAACTAGAGCCAACTGAAATGAATATGTTTCATCTGCAGACTGATAAAAAAATTTGACAGAGTGTTGAAAAGAGCCAGGTTGGTATGGTCACTAATGAAAAAAAAAATTAGGAAAAGACAAAAATGCGTTCCTAAGAAACTTGATTTGACTGAATGTTTTTTGGGGGTCTTAATAAAGGTTTCAGGCACTTGCAATAACAAATTAGTGATATAAATGGTGAAGATTAAAGCTGCTATGGGAAACACACAAAGAAAAAAGAGGAGGAGAGATAAGCATGATAGATGTTTGATAGGAAAGAAGGAGGAGAGATAAGGATGATAGATGTTTGATAGGAAAGAAGGAGGAGAGATAAGGATGATAGATTTTTTAAAGGAAAGAAGGAGGAGAGATAAGGATGATAGATTTTTTAAAGGAAAGAAGGAGGAGAGATAAGGATGATAGATGTTTGATAGGAAAGGAGCACAGTGGGTGGAATGAGCAGGGAACATGGGGGTGGAGGGAGGGAGGGGAGGGAGGGGAGGGAGGGAAAGGAAGGAAGGGAAAGAGGGAGGGAGGGAAGGGAGGGAAAGGAAGGAAGGGAAAGGAGGGAGGGAGGGAAGGGAGGGAAAGAAAGGAAGGGAGGGAGAGAGGGAGGGAAAGGAAGGAAGGGAGAGAGGGAGGAAGGGAAAGAGGGAGGGAAAGCTACTTCCCACTTTCTACAACATCTAATCATAAATATACTGAGTAAGGTATTCACATGTCAATGAAAGCCACTATTCTCCTCGACAATGGGAGGCCATCTTAGACAATGTCCACTGTACTCACAAAACAGATGAAAAGCTGGGATCGTGATTAATTAAAAACACAAAGATCTCCACGGAAAACGAGTCAAAAGTCCATCGCTGATGATCATTCCTTGACTGAAATGTCTACTCATCAAGAAAATCAAATAAAACAAAGTAAAAAAGCAAACCTCTAAACAAAGCCTTCACTGATGATGATAAAACCAGATGAAACCAAAAGCGTACAAAGGAACAATTATAATGGCAAAATAAATAAGCAACAATAGCTGGAGTCTGCTTGTAGAATGTGAGTGACTATTTGCATTAAAAGCGAATGACTGAAGAAGCGGTAACTGAGATATTTCCAGTTTTAATCAGATGCAAGCTCCATGCCAACAACAGAATAAAAATAAAAAACACTATTAACCCTTTGACTTTGGCGACAATATATTATTGTATAGTCCGTAGCACTGGTTCACCGGTGTGAAGAAAAAAAACAGGTAGAAAAAGGCAATAAATTTTCTATCAGTCAGAACAATAGTTTCAGTCAGCACGTTAGTATGAGGCAGACAGACAGACAGACAGACAGACAGACAGACAGACAGACTGACAGACTGACAGACAGACAGACAGACAGACTGACGCAAAGTAAAGAAGTACGACCTACCAGTAGTGCCCTTAATTCATCCACCCGCGGATTGAATCCTTACTGAAGAACTTACTTTCTCAAACATCATGGAGACTACACAACACAACATGAAATAAATGAGAAATAAGGTTCTCTACTAAAAATGTGGGAAAGATGACTGATGCATAGTAGGTCTAACTGAGCTTGCAGATAGTAATGTGGTTGCGGTAGAAACATCTAAAGAAGGTATCCTTTCTTCGTTAAAATCCTCTTTCATGCACAACCTTACGGCTATCATCATATTGGCCTCATAGAGAAATTTGTTTTAAAAAGCATGTTGGAAAGAAGTGGGAAATAAAACTGATGCATAGAGGCCTAACTAGCTGAGCCAGCAGATAATAATGTGGTCTTGGTAGGTAGGACATACCAGTACCGGCGTTCTCCACCCACACACGAGAAGGAAGTAAGTCATCCCGTGCTGCCTGCGAGCCATGACTGCCAGGAGTATCAGACGCCATGCCGTAAACGGTCAGATCACCAGGGGGGAGATGTTGGAAGCTCTCACGCACCCTTTTCTAACCAGTTACAGCCTGAAATATTTTTGAAAACTTACGGTGAATGTGGTAGAAACATCTACTAATTGAGGTCTCCCTTCTTCGTTCAAATCGTCTTTCATGCACAATCTTTATATATATATGGCTATTCCCAAGCTGGCCTTATTGAGAAATTTGTTTTAGAAAGCATTTAAGAGCACTTGCAACACAATTAGGTCATAAAAGTGCAGAAGATTAAAGATGTAACAAAAGTAACAAACACAAAAAAAAAGGACCACACAAAGAGACCATTAAACAGAGATATAAGGACAACAGATGTTTGATAGAAAAGAAGGGGCAAACCTCATCAGAGCATCCTCCAACCACCCTTCCCTTGAGAAAGGATACCCAGGATGTAGTCAAGTAAGTTTCGAATGGAGACCTCAACTAGACTTTTATCATGACTGTTATATCTCTGCATCGACACAATCATTTGGAGAACGGCTCTTCCATCATTACCTGTTTACAACCACCCCCGTCCCCAACTATGCAGAATTTTACATATATGCAAGAAGACAGACATGGACATTCACTGAAATGTCTTTATAGCGACAGAATAAAAAATACCGTTATCAATGATAATGCACACTGAATAGTCTTACCACGACACTGGACATTGATTCAATTTCTTTTACAAAAAACACAAACTGGTAGAACATTTATAATATAGATTTATCACAGCGATTAATGTATTACCATAATATTTGTATTATGACAACACTTATTTCTCATAGCTCGCCACTTCAACTCCAGTGGTACACAATACACTTGAAGAATTCAAGCAGAGTGCAGTCTAGAGGCCAAAATTTACAAATCAATAATTCTAAACATTATAGAATCTGCTCTTGTGTCACAATAAAATATTAATCTTCGTACAAAGAAGGAAACAAATTCTTGCTTTTTTCCCTAAAACAGTAACTTGCTATTAAGGATAATTCATGAATCAAATTTTGTCCCTTTTATTGTTGTCCTGAATAAGCTTTTGTCTCACAGTACTTATTCTGACAATTTAAGAAATGACACTTGCAGATTGTACTTGTCTTCACAGGTAGCCTTCACTCACACTGCTATTGTGGCAGACAGGTTTAAAATAAATTTAACTCCATACTCAACTGTCAGATGAAGTCTCTCTGAATATGATTGTGAAAACAGATGATGTACAATTGGAAAAGTATGAGAATTACATTTTGTACAATAATTACATGTATACACAGAAAATAGTAAATGTAACACAGCATAAGACTTATATGAAAAGTGCACAAATACGGGAGGGAAGATTTTTATATTTTTTGCTAGGCATTTATTTTCAAAAACCAAACATTAGCACTGAGGAGACAGACAGTACACCTACGTACTTTTTTTAGTACTATAGAAAGAGGATCAAGGTAAAAGAAAGGAGATCACATTGACTCCTCGTTTTACAGTCACACCAGGAATGGCTCTTTCTTTGTTAACCAACATGTTTATAAATGAACTTTAACAATATACCTTTTCGTGAAGACAAGAGTATTATATGATCATGTACGTTTGAAGTGTGAGGACCACACAATGACAATGCAGCACTGTAGTCTCGGCAAATTAAATTCAGCCTTTCCCATCAGTTGGTCTTGATGGGTTGATTACAGCTGCTATTAGTATTGTTACTACTAGTCCAACATGATGCATAGAGACCTACTGACCTTGATGCTTAAATCAGATTCACTTTGAGCCTATGAAACGGCTCATGAACTCCACAAAAATATACGATTGTTAAAATTAATGAATTATCATTCTCACAGTTATAAACCAGACCTGTGCTCACACTGCTGTAGCCTAGCAACGGGCTGTAATAAAATGTGTTCACCCTGTCCCTGTCCTGTTTCACTGTGATCTCCTTTTAAAAAAATTTTTCTTTTGGTAGGCTAAGTGTTTTACGGCGCTCGCAACTGCATACGGTCATATGAGCGTGTGGGACACATTAAACTTTTTCAGTTGTTGGTAGGAAATTTTGAATTTTGCCCGGGTGGCGGGTGAAGCCTACTCTTATCCATGTTAGATCACCAAGCAAGGGATTTTTAACCTGCGCAACTTGACATGGGGCCTCTGAGATTTTTCGCCCTTGCCTGAGAAGGCAAGGTGTAGATCTTTCCTACCAGAAGATCAGGGGTGTGACTGAAACACAGCAGTAAGAAGGCGCCAATTAAAAGGAGTAGCAGTAGAAAGGCTGCAGAAAGAGTAGGAGCCCAGAGGAGGGGGCAAAGGAGGTGACGGGGTGGGGGCAGAAAGAGGAGACGAAAGCAGACAACAGAACATTGTAGAGAGCAGTCGAGGTGAAATGAAACAAATTTAATTAGGCTAAAGAATAAAAATTTTCGGTCGCTACCCGGATTTGAACCCGGGACCTTTGAATGAGAGGCCAACACCATCTTGGATTCCAAGTGATGAGAGTCCCCACTGATCTCCTCCGAAAGCGAACAATGTGTAGAGTGGCACGGGCCCAGGGCCACGGAGAGGAGTCAATCTACATAACAAACTAATCAATTTAAAATGTTATTGTCTTTGTAAGGAATTAAGTGTAGGTGGCAGGTGTTTTCAAAGCTCTCTTACTTGACAGTCACAGCGGTCAGTTTGGCAGCGGACTGAAAAGTAGATCAAGCACAGTTGGGTTATTATTGATGATTAGACCCTAGATTCTACTCTTAATAAATCTAATGATTATTTATTATCTTGTCTTGCTCACGCTAAGCCCCTGCAGTTGAAAAATAGGCTTAGAAGATCTGTGGTTTCGAAGTTTTGGTGTGAATAAAAATAATTAATTTGAACCTAATTAACATCATGTGAAAAAGCCTACTATTTAATCAAAGTCAAATCAAGCGCAATAAATTTGTTAAAAGCGAAACAAAGACTCCATCCTATCATGATTTCAACCCAAAGAAAGACAATTTCAAACAACACCATCAACACAAAAATAGAATATGGGGCGGAATTCAGCCAGAACGATATTTTATTTATGTAACAGTTTCATGTGCATATGACTCACACTCCCTAAACTTGAAATATCTGTTCGATGTGACTGGGCATGGGTATATGTGTATCAGGTGTGTATGAATGCAATGAGTAACCTATAGAATTTAACCTCTGTAAGTTCTCTTAGCGCACACTTCGGTGTTGATTCTGAATCTTATTGTGTAATGTGTGTACCGTTGAAGTTTGGTTTATGGACATCCAAAATCCCCCTCGTGAACCAATCATGTTTATCCTAAATTCTAAATACAAAATAGGTCTATTATTTTATCTTGTTAATCTAATCGACATGATTATATTTATTCCATTACCGGCTAATATAATATACGCTCAATTTATTATTCTGGGTACGGGTGCATGTTTCGGAAAACTGTAATCTAAGGAAAATCTCTGTAGAAATGTAATCTTTTCCAAGAAAATCGACAGGTATTTCCAAAGACCTCTGACATAGATCTGGATCTACAAGACAAATGACTACTGAATGAACGCAACGGAAGCGCTTTGCTTTGAGGAAGGAAAACTTAAAATTGCTGTTCAGAAGAACATAATTCGTTGAGTTAAGATAGATAATTAAAAAGCAGTCCATGATTTTTTAATTATAAAAAATTATATCCTAATTCAGCTTGGGATTAAATTATCATACATGTAAATCTATGTGGCAGTGACTTCATAAAAGTAGTGCTTTCCATTAATTGTTATTTTTGATGGGGAGTTAAATTTTGTTGTTGTTGTTTCATTGGAAGTGTTTTACTTGTGCCTGTGTGTATTAATAAATAGATTACGAAAATCTGCTATTTGGCCTCTGCAATAAGGAACCCCTGATACAATACAAAATGCTTTCGACACTTTAAAAAACAACCCTGTAATATAAACTAGTACTGGGCCTCGCCTCGATTCATGAGATGTTCGAGGAAAAAATGACCCCAAAGAGAACAAATGCTTGATTTTGCAATCTTTTTTATCCTCCAATATAAAGGAGGTTTCGTGAAAATTAGCCTAAGTACTAAAATAAATATTAAGCTTTATGCGCGTTATCGTTAATCCGGGTTTATTTGGTTGTGATTTGCCTGCCAAGACGATCACCATTGGATTACAATCTGTTTCTCTCTATTAATTCACAATGTACAAACGCAGTCATGATTATACACACGATCTTTGGTCTAGTTATCTTCAATCCCTGTTTTCCGCTTCCGCTGTGTGTGACAGAACTGTGTAAGTGAACTGTTGTGTGTTCAATCTGTCCAACGAACACAAGGCGGAAGGCGGACACTTTCTGTTTATCACTGCTGACAGGAACTCCAGGAGTCTATCGGTATTTCGTAAGCATTAATCCTATTTAATGCCAATAGCGATAAAAGAAACGTTAGCTTCCCGTTGATAATTCTGTTTTGTTTTGTAGACAAGAACAATCGAGAAGACCGACGACTGACGTTGCTTGTTACACTTTTTTGGCCTACTAAAATTAGTGAATGAGTCAACCGTGACGACAAAAAAAGTTCTTTGGGAAATCCAGAGATCCCCACCTGCTTTTATCATATTTTATGTAATTGTTGCATGATTAGAATTTGATCTAAATCTAGATCTAGAATCCATATATACCTTTCAAGTGTTCTCTACTTTACGTTTTTATAGAAGGCTGCTGGATTCATCAGTGAGGTAGGCCTGCAAGGTGCTTTTTCGGTAGTTCCCACCCCGCAATTGTTATTGGAAGGTTTTGTCCTGCAAGAGTCAATTTTGAATTTTTTACCAAGAGCCCCCCCCCCCCCCCCCCCCCGAATTTTACCATAATTTGATGTTTTGCAAAGGCTTGTCTAGCTCACCCTGCATCAAATGTGTATAGAAGATCTAGATCGAGATACATTTATATAAGGTAGCGTCAATTGCCACCGAGTGACGCGGTGGCAATTGACAAAAATTGACTTTTTGTCAATTGCCACCGAGTGAAGCGGTGTCAAGTCTGGAAACAACACCATCTTTAGCATTATAATGTGTGTCTAATGGGTCAATTTGTTTTCAACTAATTTCATTGGACGAGCATCTAGTCTAGAGCTACGGTACCAACTTGGCGTGTTTTCAATGAGACGTCGGCCTAGATCTAGGCTAGCCTTAGCCTACATTTTGTTGTAGAACCAACGCAAAAGAGCTCCAATTTACTTGGTGGCAATTGACAAAAAGTCAATTTTTGTCAATTGCCACCGCGTCACTCGGTGGCAATTGACACTACCTTTATATAAAAGTTATTTAGCCTATCCTATAGATCTAGATTAGATTATCTAGGATCAAATAAGGGGGGGGGGGGGGTGGAAACTACCGAAAAAGCACCGGTTATACTACTAGATATCTAGATCTAGATCTAGATTTCTTTTTTACCAAATAAAACTTGAGCTTGATGCAAAGTAAGTGAAGGGTAGGCTGGAATGCTGGAAGAAGAGTAGAAGTAGAAGAAAGCCTGGTAACATTACTGACTGACAGTAGATGCTGATGTGAAATTCACCACCTACCCCCCATGGCTCTGTACTTAAATATATGGCGAGAATCTGACTACCAACCAAGGACATGTTTTTAAGTTTTGATACACCCACACACGGATGCACTGATTTGAGGGCTATACTGCCATAAATTTTTGCTGAAGAACACACGTATGGCATGGTCATGGTATGGCCACTAAAACCCTTGCAAATCAATTGTTTTCAAGTAAATATATCAGTCCTAATTGCCAAATCATCAAATCATTGTGTAATTCAGGGCGTGCCCTCCTGAAACCTCCTGAGCTTTTGCCAAAAGGTGGGGGTGTTTGCTTAAGGACTTCTTAAATCAATCACTACTCATGGTAAAATATGTTTTCTTCTGAAAACTTTATGTATATGGCAAGGAAATAAGTTGGTCAAGCTGCATGAGCAAGTAGATTGATGTGTGCATCTTATATCTCTACATAGAAAGATAATAGTACTAAAAATAAGGCATTTTTTACTCATCCTGAGTGCACACGTAATTGTATGTTAAATACAGAATTTGTTAATCTTAAACTATCAAACAGAAGTGCATTCAAACATTGAAAATAGTTTGTATACACCATCATAACAGCGTGTGTCCATTAAAAGGGTTTTATTTTTTTATATTAATGATGTTATTGCTGAGTAAAATTTATAAGTTCGTTCATAACTCGTGTCATAATTACATCATCAGACTTTCCAAGGTCTAGAAAACCCAAATCGTTAAATATATCATCCCGGGGAATGACCGGTATTAAACATTGGTTTGACATTGATCCATCAGAAGGGTAATTTTCCGCTCCATCGCATGGTTTTGCTTAAATATGACTTTGATTGAGATAATCCAGGTTTGTCATAATGATGTTATGAACAAACACTTTATGATATTTCTGCAAAATATCATGTGAGGGACTTCCCAATGTTTCACAACATCCTTTTACATGGTGGAATGAACATGGAAGAGTATCGTGCTGATGACTCAAAAGAGAAGCGAAGGAGAGGCAAAAATATGCTTGTCATAATGGATTGTCATCATGTTATGAACGTGACAGTGTGTCATAATGGTTATGAACGAAACCTTATTCCATGTAATTTATAGTTGTTTTGGGATGTATTTTTAATTTTAACCCAACTTGAGGATGTATTAGACCTTGCTTACATTCTGATATTTTGATTTTTATCATATTGTATGGGTCTGGATTTTAATTAGTATTTTATTTTTGTAGTAATGGTTATGAACGAACTACATATTGTACTCTGAGGGCTTTCCAGAGTTGATAAACATTAAAAACATGTACACAGATACATATTATGAGGAAACTTTCATTTAATATAAAATTTTAAAGTAAATGACAGGTCAAAATATTAATTTTTAGTTTTAGGTCAAAACTGAAGTTTGTCATAATAGTTATGAACGAACAATTAAAGGTATTGTAAGGGTTTTTCAGTGATTAAACTTTGAATTCTTCCCACATATAACCTTATTTTGAGGAGAGTCTCATAAATTAAAACAATTTTATGTGAATGCCAGAACAATAAGTTAATTTTTTGGGCCCAAAGTAAAATTTGTCATAATAGTTATGAACGAAACTGTGTGTCATAACGGTTATGAACGAAACATTATTCCATGTAATTTACAGTTGTTTTGGGATGTATTTTTAATTTTAACCCAACTTAAGGACAGAATAGATCTTACATACATTCTGATATTTTGATTTTTATCATAAGTGTATGGGTGTGGATTTTAATTAGTATTATACTTTTGTAGTAATGGTTATGAACGAACTATTTATAGTCCATTTTATATATTTTGAGGGCTTTTCAGTGTTAACAAACTTTAAAAACATGTACAGAGATAATACATATTATGAGGAGAGTTTCATTTAATAAAAGTTTTAAAAAATGAATGACAGCTCAAAATGAGTAAATTTTAAGGTCAAAATTGAAGTTTGTCATAATTGTTATGAACGAACCATTTTAAAGGTATTCTAAGGGTTTTTCAGGAAATAAACTTTGGATTCTCCCTACATAGAGGAATCTATCATATTTTAAGGAAAGCCTCATAAATGAAAACCGTTTTATGTGAAAGACAGAACAATATAAGTAAATTTTAGGGGCCAAAAGTAAAATTTGTCATAATAGTTATGAACGAAACAGTGTGTCATAATGGTTATGAACGAACTTTAAATTTATGCATAATATGCCCTAAGACCAGTTTGCGTTTAAAAATAGCTGTTCAATGGTCTTCCATTTATCACTTGACTATAATTAGACCAGAGTGTTATTTTAGACAATTCTAGTCGATGAAACTTGATATAATCGATAGTATTTTGGTCACTTATTGTTCGTTCATAACTATTATGACACAAAAAAGTAATTTTATCAAAAATTAATAAAGATTTTTATAAATTGTCAATTCTATGTATTTTTGGAAGTTATTTGCTATGTCTCAAAATATAACATCAGCCTAGCTGAAGAAAGGAACTTTGAGTATTCATAAATTTGTGTCATCATTGTTATGAACGAACTTTTTGCTATTTCCGTCATTCAAGTCAGAATTACACCAAGACCATTGCATATACAGCTTTGGCAGTTACTGAGCCTGAAAGAGCAATCATTAGGCTATATAATATGGGTGATTAAAGAATTATTACATAAAGTTGATTTTGGACCTCATTTGTCACACCCTGGTATCCCACCTTTTGGCAAATGCTCTCCTAGTTTCTTTTTAGGTCAGGGGAGTGGGGGGGGGGGGGGGGGGCATGCCCCCTTGAAACCCCCCATGTTGTTTGTTTTAAAAACAAGTCAAATATTACTACGCCACTGGTCCTAGTTCTGTTTTCAAACATCAATAACTCAGTACTTAACTATTGATTTGCGGCAAAAAATTAAGATATTCGTGTTCAGCATGCAAAATACTAGTAGAAAAAAAGTATAAAACGTGTACATGAGATGGGTGCATGATTTTTTTAAAAACCACCAAGTTTTTAGTGCCAAGTTTCTTGACATAGAAGTCTATTCTTTTTTAAATAATCAACCAATCAGAAAAACACTCCCCCGGACATAAATTTTTAAAAACTAGTTCTAAATGGAATGTGTTCATCACACCTGACAGAGAGTGAGAGTTCATCGCGCAAAATGAAAATTTATCTCTCTGAAAAAGATGTGTGAGCTCTTTTTATTAAGCCTGTTGTCTGAATTGTATCTTCTATTGATCTATTTGTGGTGGCTGAATTTTGCTATTCAAAAGGCTTTTTAATGGCTGCATCGATCGACATGAGGTTTTCGCCAAAAGATTCTTTAAAATATTCTCGAAATCATGACGCCCTTCGTATTTTCAGTTTTGAGACAGTTTTGCTGTAAAGAGCTAAATTTCTTTATTTCGCCGATCGCTTTTGTAGGCCGACGCTTCTGTTTCTGTAATTTTAGAAAATCTGCCAGGTTTGTTTATTTCAAGTGGTACTTCCGTTCGATACTATCGCGCATTGTCGTGCAATATTGAGCACTATTTTAAGTGTGCAACCCGTGTATGGATCTAGCCTCATGTTTTCTTTTTTTTACTTTGTGCTAAATTTGACTGTGATCCTTTCGTTTGATGCCCATCATATCATCGCTTTTTCTGGACTCCTTTGTCAAATTCTTTTTCTTGCAACTTGGAACAATCAACACGCTTCTGTCTCAACCTGTTCATCGAACGGGGGCCCAGCTAGTACTATCTATATATAAAATGACAATATATGAATGTATGTAACGTTCTTACAGAGTTCATCAAACAAAATGAAAGAAAATTGTTTGTCTACTAATAATGGTGTGAGCTCTCCAGACCTGTATTGTAAAATTATTGTTATTACAATAATGTACATTGAACTTTCTGTCTCTGTCTCTGCTAATAATTAATAATTATGTTAATGTGAGCCCTGTAGCCCTATATAGATCATCATAGAATATAAAATTAAATGTATATATATATATGTATACTTCCTGTTTTCCATGTTTTAGATTTGACCTCCAGCCTCACAGCGACAAACGGGCTGTTACACAGTATCTGAGACGAGCACCGAGCACCTGGTCTGTTTTCTTCTTCTTTTCGGAGTGTGTGGGCGGTGTGTGTCGAGAGAGCCATCATGTATGACCCAGAGACGGCTGACAGCTACTTCAATGAGGACTCGTTTGGGGAGAAGAACGTGCGGCTAGGTAAAAAGTTTGGCTTTTTTTGTTTGTTTTGTTTGTTTATTGTTTTTTTGTTTGCAGTTCGTTTCAGTTGTTTGCAAGAGTTTTAGTAAGAGTTTTACAGCACCTGCAAGAACCCTCAGATTGTATAAGTTGAGAAGGAGAGGTGTTACTTGATAGTAAAATACCAAGAAAAGAAGGATGAGAGACAAAGAATGATATATATATTGCTTGGCTCTCTATGCATTTTAAATTACTTCGCTGGAAGAAAGGATTTATATAATATTAACAAGCCTGTTATATTGTTAAATGACTGAAAGGCTTATATTGCTGTATATTTGTGAAAAGTTGTGTTGTGTGCAAGTTCAGAGCATTGCCCGGGGCCTGGTGTTTTTTAAAGCTTGTATGAGAGTGAGTGGTTGGCGGGTGCTCTGGTGTGGTTTGCTGGTTATTTACTATTTTTTAAAAACATCTATTGTCCTGATCTCTCCTTCTTTTTTGTGTTTGTTTCTCTGTTGTAACAGCGCCTCTAATCTTCGGCACTTTTATAGAACCTAATGTTAAACTCTTTAAGTACTAAAACCTAAAACGATGAGTACCTAACAAGTCCCATATTATGTGCTGTAAGACAAGACCTGAAACGTCAGATGGCGTACACATTTTCCTATTATGGTAAGATGAGTTGATCTTCACAACTTACAGATATTTGTTGAGGCATTGTAGATACGTACACGCACTCGTTGACACACTCATCCCTCTTTATGTCACTCTTTCTCTCTCTCTCTCTCTCTCTCTCTCTCTCTCTCTCTCTCTCTCTCCTTTTCCCCTTACTTGACCTCAACCAACTTTTATCCAGAGAAAGGTCTTTTCTTCGTTCCCGCTCCCTTCTATTCTCTTCGTCTTTCTTTCTTTCATTCATTCTTTCTTTCTTTCTTTCTTTTTTTCTTTCTTTCTTTAGTTCTTTCTTTCTTTCTTTCTTTCTTTCTTTCTTTCTTTCTTTCTTTCTTTCTTTCTTTCTTTCTTTCTGTACCGGTTTCTGTTGTCGTCTCTCTATTTCTTCCAG